GTAAAGCCGTAGATCTACGGGACGGACCCTGAAAGGGCTAATGAGTGCACTACGTGTGTATTTTACTTTTTTTTGTTTTTTTTAATGCCTAGTTCTATTGCTAACTTAATACATATATGTTAGTGTAAACTTGTTATCTAGTATTTATATGCATTCATAAGTGGAAAAAAAGGTGTTCCACTTTACGGCGATTTCCACTTTATGGCGGTAGACTAGAACCTAACCTGCCATATAAGTGGGGCCCTACTGTATACTGTTTGAATGACAGTCATCCCTTGAACAGAATCAAGGACTCGTCAACAACGTTCTTGAATGGATAAAAGTAGGCACTAAATTTTTGCTTCAGATACATAAACAATTCCCTGATTTAGTATAGGAAGTCATTTCGGTTTGGCGTATTCCTGTCTGAGAAGTGCAACATTCATAGCAACAGAGTGAATCTGTCACAAGGAAGAAGGTCACGGAAGACTGGAGTGCTGATGAAGTGGTCCGTGGACCAGTACTATGCTATATTGTTCTTATATGTGTGTGGCATAAGCATGACAGTGCCCAGGAATAAATACATTTCAGCCACAGTTGTATCTTTCCACCTGCGCAGCCATGACGATTCTGAAATACTTGTGTGGTCCATTGTATACCGGTAGTACAATCAGGTTCATTATTGATTCATCAGGTTCATTATTGATTCATCAAAGTATAGTTGAAAATAGTCTAACTCTGCAGACTCGTTTGTGACGGGACAGCGTGGCATGATGCCACTTCCACTGGCATCAAAATTGAAAGGATGTGGCACGAATGGTGTACTTTCTGTCCAGTTCCATTCGCGGTCATATGGTGCAGGGTGTACCTGTGGCATGGGGCTTGGGGGAGCAGGAGGAGGGACACGAATAGAGGCAGCACATGGTTGAGAGGGTGCCAAGTGGTCCTTTGTTTGCCCACCCACTGTGCCACAAGGTCCAGGCACCATGCCACCCACCACCTCCTCCTCCATCCCAGCATAATCACCTTCATGATCACCATCACTATCAGTGGCTGGGGTTGTGTGGACTGTGACCTACCACGACCCTTGCTGCCGACTGCATATGGCACATTGCCTGAACGTAGGCACCGCCGCCTAAAAGTACATTTTACTGGGGAATAATGACAATCACTTTTACTCAACGAATCCTGTCGACACCATAACGCATGGAAAATGATAATTTCCTCTTGTGGAGTTGCCTTTAGGCAGTACCACTAGCAACCTCAGAGGTGCTGGGCTGAGGATCTGTTGTGGCCACACTGGCCACATTAGTCACACTAGCCACCTTAGAGGTGATGGGCTGAGGGTCATCTGGGTTGTCATCAATAGTTTCACTAATTCCTTAATCATTAGTAGCCATGTCAGTGTCAAATCCACTAAACTCGCGTTCTGTTTCACTGTCCAAGAATAGTGTGTTAATACGACGAGGCATGAGTGAATCACGGGGGTTTGCTGTGATGTTGACGCAAGATGGTGCTGAAACTAACTGGTGCTACCACACGGTACCCCGGCGTCCCCGATTTTTTTCATACTGCGCACACTGAGGGCGCAGACCCATTCTCTCGTGTCTAGGCGACTCGAGCCTATAGCACCAAATTTGAAGGAATGAAAAATAAAACGTAGATCTACGGTCGGAGTGCTACGCAAGCAAATGTATATCTACATTTGGACAGTTTAAGGGCTAAAAGATCAAAACACAATTGACAAACACAACTAGCCTATAGCAGAGAAGAGAAACTGGACGTGTATGAAGTACGAATGCTGGGATGGTGTGTCGGGGGGTGGTGGTAGGTCTCCCCTATTGACTCAACGGTGTAACCCACCGCCAATCCCGCGGGCAACTGCGCACTCAAAATTTTTCCCCTCCCGCGAACTGTGTTATATTAATTTTATGAAGTGTTACATAAAACTGTGCTGCAATTCTTCAATCGTGCTATGCCTGAATCATGTCAAATAAACACATGTTAAATGACAGACTACTGCACAAAATATATACAATCATGGTAAAGCAAAAAAAAAAAAAAAAACATAATTGTGAAATGTGGTAGCCAGGCAGGCTATCACACTTGACTTCCTACAATAAATACTACTCGCCTCTCACACTTCACTAAACTACAAATATTTTAAGGTAAGTAATGAATGTACTGTATGTGTAGTTTACTTTTTAATTGTGTTTTTATGCCTAGTTCTATTGCTCACTTAATATATAATAGTGTAAACATGTTATCAGGCAATTATATGTATAAAGGATGATTTGCTTTACAGTGGTAGCCTGGGACTTAACCTGCCATATAAGTGGGGCCCTCCTGTATATCTGAAACTGTCATTATAAAAAAGTGCTCTCATTCTTGTCCACAAGATAAGTACTTACGTGAAAAATGGTTGGTCTTCATGTTCTCTGTAAAATGCAGCTGCCTGGCTCCTTAACAGCTGAACCATTTTCATTTGGGTAATTTCAAAGTTATGACTCTTAATGACATCTACAATTTCCCCTAACCTATGTACAGCATCAGGCTTCACCATTGCAAATGTCCTGAAATTTTCAATTATTATTATTGTTTTTATAATCTTTTTTGGGATTATTTTTAGAATTTATGGTGCAAAATTGTATTTCCCTAAAATAAATATTTTTTTTAAATAAATGCCATTACAAAATTGCTGAAAATTTCCTTGGATAAATTCAAAGATCAGATGGTTAGAAATTTAACATATAACAATGAAATTATTACAGAATAAATCAGATAAAACAAATTTAATGCAACCTAAAGTTGTAGTAGCCCATTTCACAGATTGAGGATTTTGCTGAAGATATCCCTCATCAATCTGCATCACTTGCTGATGCCGTGGGACTCATCCGAAAACTCCATGGTGAAACCCTTACATTCAATGAGCTCTCTGATCATAATTTTCTACAGATGCTTCATGCTGGCAGAGGATGTGTCAGAACTTATCTCATATTCCCTTAAACCAGTGAAAAGTATAAGTCATACTTCAAAAGAAAGCATAAATTTCACATTTAGGAATTGAAGGAGGCTGTTGATAATGCACATAAAACAAGAACAAACTAAGTTTCTTGCAGAAAGCTGGAAAGAGCAAACAACAACTTGGGAAAAATCTATATTCATCAAGTAAGGAGATTAATGCATAAAACTTGCATACATCCACTGGAAAAACATCAAGGTCTTCAGTCCAGCCAAGAAGAGGCTGTTATACTGTTCACTGCTACATGTGAAGTGTGCTGTACAGAGCCACCAGGCTCTGATCTGTGCTGCAGACGACACGTTTTTATAATAATAATAATAATAATAATAATAATAATAATAATAGTAGGTAGTAGGTTGGTAGACAGCAACCGCCCAGGGAGGTACTACCATCCTGCCAAATGAGTGTAAAACGAAAGCCTGTAATTGTTTTACATGATGGTAGGATTGCTGGTGTCCTTTTTTCTGTCTCATAAACATGCAAGATTTCAGGTACGTCTTGCTACTTCTGCTTACACTGAGGTCACACTACACATGTACAAGCATATATATACACACAACCCTCTGGGTTTTCTGCTATTTTCTTTCTAGTTCTTGTTCTTGTTTATTTCCTCTTATCTCCATGGGGAAGTGGAACAGAATTCTTCCTCCGTAAGCCATGCGTGTTGTAAGAGGCGACTAAAATGCCGGGAGCAAGGGGCTAGTAATCTCTTCTCCTGTTTAAATTACTAAATTTAAAAAGAGAAACTTTTCTTTTTCTTTTTGGGCCACCCTGCCTCGGTGGGATACGGCCGGTTTGTTGAAAGAAGAAGAAATAATAATAATAATAATAATAATAATAATTAATTTTGACATGATACATGTTTGTACAAAGGAATATAATAGTTGGGTGTACATGCCAAAAGCCCCTTTATATGCAGAGCATTTTGGGCAAACTTAAAATTAACTTAAGATTAATAAGGCAATAACAGGACATATGGTCATTAGATGAGTTACAATGAATACAAGAGAACTGAGTATTCTATTAGGTTATGCAATATGACTTTAATAAGTCTTGGCTTTAATAAGTCTTATGATTAACATTTGAGATGAGTACAGATATTGAGAGTAAGTACAGTGGACCCCCGGTTAACGAACTTTTTTCATTCCAGTAGTATGTTTAGGTGCCAGTACTGATCGAATTTTTTCCCATAAGGAATATTGTGAAGTAGATTAGTCCATTTCAGACCCCCAAACATACACGTACAAACGCACTTACATAAATACACTTACATAATTGGTCGCATTTGGAGGTGATCGTTAAGCGGGGGTCCACTGTATATACTGATTGAAAGTTTTACCTATGTTCATGATATTGAGCAAATGAATGTATAGTTTTAACAAATGTATTTATGATGGGCTGGGATAGGTTAAGGAGATAAGGTGTTTTTTAACTGTAGTTTTAAAAATACTAGCTGAGCCAGTAGTTCTGGGGATTTCTGACAGAGAGTTCCAGATTTTGGGCCCTTTTATGTACAATGAGTTTTTGGAAAGATTTAGCCTGACACGGGGTATGTCATAGAGGTTTTAGTACCTAGTGTTGTGTCTATGAGTCCTATTGCAACTGTCAAGAAAATTTTTCAGGTCGGGATTTATATTAGAATTGATTGTTCTGTAAATGTAGGTTGTACAATAGTATGAGTGAATGTTTTGTATGGTGAGTAGGTTTGTCTTTGAAGAGTGGGGGGTGTGTTGTCTAGCAATGGATTGTGTGATCATTCACACTGCGTCTTTTTGTTGTGTTATTATTAGTTTTAGGTGGTTTCTTGTTGTGGAACCCAGGCACAAATAGCATAGGTGAGGTAAGAGTAGATCAGTGAATACTAGTGTAAGTAGTGCTGTTTGTGGTACATATTAATGTATCTTTGAGAGGATGCCAACTGTTTTAGAAACCTTTTTAGTTATGTGTTGGACCCAGGAATTTTCCCTCATTATGTTTAGCAATAAGGGTGTTGTTAAGCATAATGTTTAGTTCGACCTCACTTGCTCTACTCCCAAACATAACGTAAAAGGATTTGTCTATATTAAGTGTAAGTTTATTGACGGTCAACCAGGTTGCTATTTCTGCAAGTTCTTCGTTAACAATAGTGTTGAGTGAGGCTAGATTTGGGTGGGAGAAGTCATGTCATCAGCAAAGAGAATAGGCGTAAGTTGTTGTGATAAGCTTGGAAGATCGTTGATGTACGTATAAGAGGAAAAGGAGGGGGCCAAGAATGCTACCCTGTGGTACACCAGTGTCCAGGGTTCTTGTTGAGGAGGTTGGGTCCTTGACAGAGACATATTACTTTCTATTAGTAAGGTAGGATTTGATAAATGAATGTACAGTGGACCCTCGCCTAACGAACGCATCGCATAACGTTAAATCCACCTAGCGATACATTTTAACGCAAAAATTTTGCCTCGGCTAGCGCTAAAAAACTCGCTCAAAGCGATTCATTCGAGACGCGTCCACGTGCGGCCTGAGCCCGCCTCACTTGTTCCGTGGGTGCCAGTGTTTACAAGCCAGCCACCACGGTCGCTTTCAAACATACAATCGGAACATTTCATATTATCACAGCCTTTGTAGTGATTGCACCTGCAAAATAAGTCACCATGGGCACCAAGAAAGCTTCTAGTGCCAGCCCTACAGCAAAAAGGGTGAGAATTACTATGGAGATGAAGAAAGAGATCATTGCAAAGTATGAAAGTGGAGTACGTGTCTCCAAGCTGGCCAGGTTGTACACAAAACCCCAATCAACCATCGCTACTATTGTGGCCAAGAAAACAACAATCAAGGAAGCTGTTCTTGCCAAAGGTGCAACTTTGTTTTCAAAACAGAGCTCACAAGTGACAGAAGATGTTGAGAGACTCTTATTGGTGTGGATAAACGAAAAACAGATAGGAGATAGCATCTCTCAAGCGATCATATGTGAAAAGGCTAGGCAGTTGCATAACGATTTAATTAGAAAAATGCCTGCAGCTAGTGATGATGTGAGTGAATTTAAGGCCAGCAAAGGTTGGTTGAGAGATTTAAGAATCATAGTGGCATACATAGTGTGATAAGGCATGGCGAGGCTGCCAGTTCGGACCACAAAGCGGCTGAAAAATATGTGCAGGAATTCAAGGAGTACATAGACAGTGAAGGACTGAAACCTGAACAAGTGTTTAATTGTGAAGAAACAGGCCTGTTTTGGAAGAAAATGCCAAGCAGGACCTACATTACTCAGGAGGAAAAGGCACTCCCAGGACATAAGCCTATGAAAGACAGGCTTACTCTGTTGATGTGTGCCAATGCTAGTGGTGATTGCAAAGTGAAGCCTTTATTGGTGTATCACTCTGAAACTCCCAGAGTGTTCAGGAAAAACAATGTCCTCAAGGCTAATTTGTGTGTGCTGTGGAGGGCAAACAGTAAGGCATGGGTCACTATGGACTTTTTCTATGACTGGTTACACCATGCATTTGCCCCCACTGTGAAAAATTACCTAACTGAAAAGAAATTAGACCTTAAGTGCCTCCTGGTATTAGACAATGCCCCTGGTCATCCTTCAGATGTGGCAGAGCGGCTTTCTGCGGAAATGAGCTTCATTAAGGTCAAGTTTTTGCCTCCTAATACCACTCCTCTCCTGCAGCCCATGGACCAGCAGGTCATTTCCAACTTCAAGAAACTGTACACAAAAGCTATGTTTGAAAGGTGCTTTGTAGTGACCTCAGAAACTCAATTGACTCTAAGAGAGTTTTGGAGAGATCACATTAGCATCCTCAATTGTGTAAACATTATAGGTAAGGCTTGGGAGGAAGTGACTAAGAGGACCTTGAACTCTGCTTGGAAGAAACTGTGGCCAGAATGTGCAGACAAAAGGGATTTTGAAGGGTTTGAGGCTAACCCTGGGAATCCTATGCCAGTTGAAGAATCCATTGTGGCATTGGGGAAGTCCTTGGGGTTGGAGGTTAGTGGGGAGGATGTGCAAGAGTTGGTGGAGGACAATGAAGAACTAACCACTGATGAGCTGCTAGATCAATTCAACAGCAAGAGGCCACACCTGAGGAAACTGCTTCAGAGGAGGGGATAGAGAAATTGAAGAAGTTGCCTACTTCAAAGATTAAGGAAATGTGTGCAATGTGGCTTAAAGTGCAAACCTTTTTTGATGAAAATCACCCTCACACAGCTATTGCAAGCCGTGCTAGTGACTATTACACTGACAATGTTGTGAAACACTTTAGGAATGTCATAAAGGAACGGGAGGTACAGGCCTCTATGGACAGATATGTTGTGCGACAGAGGTCCAGTGACTCTCAAGCTGGTCCTAGTGGCATTAAAAGAAGAAGGGAAGTAACCCCGGAAAAGGACTTGCCACCTCAAGTCCTAATGGAAGGGGATTCCCCTTCTAAACATTAACACCATCCACAGTCTCCCCTCCTCCCATCCCATCAATCATCACCAGATCTTCAATAAAGCTAAGTGTCATGCAACTGTGCATGTCTTCTTCAGTTTGTGTGTATTAAAATTAATATTTCATGTGGTAAAATTTTTTTT